GTGCAACAACGAGTTGTGATGATGTCTTGTTTCTAATTGTGCCACAGTGGGATAGGGCTGGAAGTATCATCCTGACCTTCAGTGCCCCATTAGGCAGCAGATTAGGCCTCTATCATTCAGTATGGCTGCTGGCTGTTAAGGTAGATTTGAAGAGTTGGGTCAGCAGACAATACATATTTGTGCATGCATAACTATACTGGTAATGCAGGGTCTTGGCCCACGTTAAGAAAAGCAGCTGCTATTCAGAGTAATAGCTGATTCTTTGGGGTTGTTTTAATGCACAATCATCTTCAGATGTTTTAGGCCAGTGATCCTCAACTTTTGAAGCTCCAGATGTTTTCACTTCATGTTCCAGAATCAATGGCTGTTGACCATGATGGTTGGGGCTTCTGGAAGCTAAAGTATTTTTAAAAATGCAGAACCATATATTGAGAACCACTGGGCTAGAGACTCTAGAGTCCAGAGTCATCTTGAAGCAGTCTCTTCATCCCAAAGTATTCCAGGAAATAAAACAAGTTCAGCAGTTCTAAATCAATGGCTGAAATTCTGTTGATTAATTGCAAGTAGGCTAGACACATTGAATCAGTTGCTGAATGTGAGGCACCACATAGGTAGAATCATAGAGTTGGAAGAGACCACAAGGGCCATCCTGTCAAACCCCTTTCTGCCATGCAGGAATACGTATCAGCATCTGTTTACAAACCTCTGAAGAACGAGACTCCTCCACACTCCAAGGCAAAATATTCCATTGTTGAACAATTGTTATTGTCAGGAAATTCTTCCTAATGTTCAGGTGGAATCTCTTTTCCTGTAGCTTGAATCCGTTACTCCATGTCCTAGTCTCTGGAGCTGCAGAAAAGAAGCTTGCTCCATTTTCAATACAACTCTCTTTCAAATGCTTAAACATGGCTATCATGTCATCTCTTGCCCAGGCTAAACATACTCAGGTCCCTAAACTGCTCCTCCATAGAGCATGGTTTCCAGACTTTTCACAGTTTTGGTCACCCTTCTCTGGACATGCTCCAGCTTGCAATATCCTTCTTGAATTGTGGTACCCAGAACTGGACACAATATTCCAGGTGAGGTCTGAACAAAGCAGAACATGGTGATCCTATTACTTCCCTCAATTCTAGACATAGGACGTTATCACACGTGGCCCAGAAACTGAAAATAAAGTGGAAACGAGGCATCCCGAAAATAAATGGGAAATAAACCTTGTTTCCGCAAATGTCATTACCTTCATTGCGAAATAACAGTAAGTGTATCGAACGTCCACACACAAGAGAAAAAAACCCGTAAATGTAGTAGAAATGAGCCTCTTTCATATGCGCAGATAGAGGAATGCTCACTGGAACCATGGGTAATGACGGGGAAATGCTCGCCAATACGTATTTGGTTATCACATTTACAGTAAATGTGTAATCACCCTCATCGCACAATTGCATTTCCTCAAGAAACCGAATTTCAAAAGATCATGTTTCTGTCCACTTTCTGTCTGGGTTCTGTGCGAAGTCGTGTGAAAACATGGGCCAATAATCCGGTTTCGGGTGGGATTTTGTGTGGATTTTATTTGGATTGGGCCCCGTGTGATAACGTCCCTAGACTCATTTGAGTTTTTTTAGGGCCTTTGCAGACTGCTAGA